CCCCCTCCAGTGGGAGCCAGAACTCCTGGGTTCTGTCCCTGGCTCTGGAAGGGGAGTGGGGGCTAGTGGTTAGAGCAGAGGGTGCTGGGAGCTAGGGGAGTGGGGAGCAGTCGGGGGGGTCTGGGATCTAGCACACCCGCTGGGTTCTCTCCCTGCTGTGCTGTCTGTGGGTGCAAAGCCCTGGGGGTAGAACCATGATGCCCGGCTGGGGAGAGACACAAAGAGCCAGGGCTAAAAGTTAAACATCAGGGACACCAAGCCAAGAACCCCTGACGGTGCCCATCCACCCTGAAAGGTGTCTAAGTAGTCTGTGGATGCTCCCTCCAGGGGAGGGCATGCAGCTTGTATTGAACTGGGCAGACCTCTTTCTGAAAGATTCATCTAGAATGGGGATAAAACCAGATGTGGTTTTGTCTGGTGTGGGAGGGGCCATTCCACCCCTTCTGGCTTTTAAAGAACATGCCATCCTCCTCACATATGAAGCATGTGACCTTGCAGATTCTGCCATAGCAGCAGGCGTGCGATAGCACATGCTTAAATATGAAACCCTTCCCTCCGTGTGGCATGACCTCACGTGCCATCAGGGTGGCAGGGCAGGGAGGATCCTAGAAATAGACTCTAGGGGTGCATCTACACTACACTTTCGAAATAGCTTATTTTGAAATAGGGGTTCCCCACTTCCAGACAATGATTGGTCTAGGGGGGTGAGGGAGTGCCTTTGCCACCACCTCGCATTCCCCCAAGGTGCTCAGGCCCTGATGTGGGAGGAGACTTCAATCATTTCCCTGCCCCTAGGCCAAGTAGGGCCTGGGAGCAAGGGAGAGTGCGAAGCCTTCTTCCGCCCTGCCTGGAGCATGCGGCGCTTTGACGCGCCATGCGCAGCTTGCAGGGCAGGAGGCAGGCAGAGTGGAGGCCTTTTTGCCCACCCCTGCTCCAGAGCCTAAATGGGATGGTTTAACTCCCTCTTTCAAAATGGTTCAACCCAATTCTAGAGTGTGTGTGTGTGTGTGTACTTGACAAACCCCGGCGAGAGTTACTCGCCAGCCCCGCACCGCACATGCACCAGACTGGCACTGCGCACATGCGCAGTGCTGATGAATGGGGTGCACGGAGCAACCGACTGCAATCTACTCACCATGGGCGAGTAGAAACAGCGGTTTTTTGAGCCCTGGGCATTAATACAGACAGGCAGAGTGCTTTGGGGATTAGGACATGACACTGAAGCTCAGGAGGGAGGGGTTCACTTCCTTGCTGTACCAAGCCTTTGAGGAAGTCAAGTAATTGTTCAGTCTACACACACACACACACACACACACACACACACACACACACACACACACACACACACCCACACACCCACACACACACCCAGGATGGCTCAGACACATCTCTGCCCTGAAAATAATTCAGACCACTTTGCACCCCCTTTTAATACAAGTGGTACAGCTCATTATGTCTCTCTAATAATGATACAATCTCGCTACCCCCAGACCTGAATGGTTCAGCCCAGCCTCCTGCAGCTAAGCATGAGCCACCCAAGATAAATGGTTTCTCCCACACTATTCTGCATTCTTTATAGCTCCCCCCTCCCAATTAGTGGTTTCGCCCATATCCCTCCTTGTTCTGCCTCCCCCCCATCTTTTAATGGTTTATCCCCCTCTGTAAGGATCTCGATGGTTTCTTCCCCCCAACTCAGTGGCTTTCCCCAGTTTCCCCAGTGTGGCTGAGCTCTCAGTGGTTATTTTGTCCCGCGCTCTTAAGTGTTTTATTCCACCCTTCCTGAGTTGGTTGTTCCCAGATTCCTCCCCCTCGCATCTTTCTCAGTGGTTGACTCCCCCTTCCGCCATGGTTTTGCCCAGATTGCTCCCTCCCCCTTCGGGGTCCCAGTGGTTTCTTTGGCTTTCCCCAGTTTCCCCAGTGTGGCTGAGCTCTCAGTGGTTATTTTGTCCCGCGCTCTTAAGTGTTTTATTCCACCCTTCCTGAGTTGGTTGTTCCCAGATTCCTCCCCCTCGCATCTTTCTCAGTGGTTGACTCCCCCTTCCGCCATGGTTTTGCCCAGATTGCTCCCTCCCCCTTCGGGGTCCCAGTGGTTTCTTCCAGTCACAGTGTTTGCTCCGCCTCCTTTCCACCTACCCCA